GCTCTCTCTCTCTCTCTCTCTCTCTCTCTCTCTCTCTCTCTCTCGGTCTCTCTCGGTCTCTCTCTCTCCGGAAAGGAGCAGCCAGGCTGAGGTGAAGTGTGTGTGTGGGGGGGGAGAAGTTGGCGTTCTATTTGTTAAAATACATATTTGGTTCTGAAATTCAAAAGATAAGTAACCCAGACGGGAGCGAAAGGTCTTCTCCTTACGCAACTCTCCCTACATTCTCCCCCTTGTCCACCCCTCACCCCCTCCCAATTGTAAATGTTTAAAAAAAAAAAAAAAGCTTCCCGAAGATCTACTCTGGAAAAATCAAAGCATTATCTATTATTTAACACGTATCTGTGTCCGAGGAAAAATGAGGAAGGCGCTGCATGATTAGGACCTAAGGGGCAACCCAGCAAACTGAGAGCGTAATGATGCCCCTAAATGAAGGGGGAAATGTGCCGCGGAGCGCTCTATTAATCAGACTGTCAATTTCACCCCCGAGGCCAAACCCCCGGGCGAGCAGAGCCGGCTCGGAGCCGGCAAAAGACCGGAGCCTTCCTCCTCACTTCTTGTCTTTTCAAGTCTCCTACCTGGATCTATTTGTCTGCTCCGAAGCCGCCTTCATTACCCACTGACAGGAGCGTGTATTTATTTGCTTATAAACCTGTTACAATAAATGATTATTCGAACGGCGTCATTCGTACCTTAATGACGAGCGAGCGCTACTTTTTGATGAATGACATCTTGGGCTCGGAAGGATGTATGGGTCATTTTGACCAGTCATTCCCTCGCTCTGGCATTCCACAATTTTTCCGCCTCCCTCCAAAAGAGATAATAATATTTAGAGGCGCTCGCTGGGGCTGAATGAGAATTAGCCCTAGGCGCAGCCCATCATTAGGACGGGACGGCCGGACCACTGTGACATTTTTTAGAAAGCTGAGATGATGGAAAGGATAAGAAAAGAGATGATTCTGATGGAGAGAGGGCTGCACAGCCCCACGGCCGGCAAGAGGTTCTCCAATTTGTCCGACTCGGCTGGCAATGCTGTCCTCGAGGCCCTGGAAAATTCGCAGCACCCGGCTCGTCTCAGCCCGCGCCTGCCGTCCGCCCCCCTGCACAGCGCTCTGGGAGATCTCCCTGCCAAGGGCAAATTCGAAATAGACACTTTGTTCAACCTGCAGCACCCGGGCAGCGAAAGCACCGTCTCCTCCGAAATCGCCTCTGCCGCGGAGGGCCGCAAAAAGCCGGGCCATTATTCGGAGGCGGCCGCCGAGGCGGACATGAGCAGCGACGTGGAGGTGGGCTGCTCCGCGCTGCGCTCCCCCGGCGGCCTCGGCGCCGCGCCGCTTAAGGAAAACAATGGCAAAGGTAACCGCGCCGCCCCGCGCCGCTCCCTCCGCTCCCACCCTCCGGGTTCCTCCGGGCCGCCGCGCGCCCTTCCAGGTGACTTCGCCCCTTTCCCACCCCCCGCAGTAAGCTGCAGCCAGCTGGCTTCAACCAGGGCCGGACGCCCGCGGGGGACCATGCCCTGGGGCTCTGATCCTACAGCCTCTCGGAGGCGGAGGCCTGGGACTCCAGGCCCGCTTGACGGGCCTGCCGTGGCTCCTGAGTCCGAGAAAATGTTTCTGCGCGCGGCTCTAAAAGCCGGTGCGAGTCGACCGGCCCGCAGCCAGCCGCTGGGCCGTGCTGGGGGAAGAGTGCACTGGGGAGCTGCTCTGGGCCCCTCTGCTTCTGAGCTCCCAAGGCCGAGTTGGAGGGGGCATTCTGCGTAAGTCGGGGGGAGCTTCGCCGGGCGCCTCTGGGAGACCCGCTTGGGTCAGCGGGAGAAAAAGAGTTGAAAAGTAAGGTCCACCCCCTAATGGTTCCGGTTTGAGCGGCTGCTGGCTTTCGAATCTTAAAATTTTAAACAAACCCAAAAGACTGTCAAAGAAGGGTTAGAGGCCGTACAGAAAGCTGTCCGGTGGTCTCCAGACCATGGCAAACCCAGAGCTTCCCAAACTGCGCCCAGATGCGGGCATTTCCCCTTGGCCAATTTTCCCAGAGTTGAAAATTTCCAATTTTTTTTTTTTTTTTAAAACACCCTAATTGAGTTCTTATTATTTGGTTATGAAGTGCTCTCCAAACTTTATTGATTCCATTAACGGCAGCAATTTGTAAGCATGACAGATCCCATCAATTCAGGCGGCGCCTCGCCTTCCGCTCCCGGCTTCCCCGGCCCGCGCGCAGCCCCAGCTCGGGGATGTCGGCCCCACAGTGACTCAGGCGCTGCCGGCCGTTTGTTTGCCAGGGTACGGCGAGAGCGGCTCGGCCGCGGGCACCACGACGTCTTCGTCGGGCTCCGGCCTCGGCAGCCTGCATGGAGGCGGTGGCGGCGGGGGCGCGGCGCTGGGCAGCTCCGGCTCCGGTGCGGATCAGGTGCGGCGCTACCGCACGGCGTTCACCCGCGAACAGATCGCGCGCCTGGAGAAGGAGTTCTACCGGGAGAACTATGTGTCCCGGCCCCGCCGCTGCGAGCTGGCCGCTGCGCTCAACCTGCCCGAAACCACCATCAAGGTATCGAGTCCGGCGCGCGCTGTCCTAGCCTCCCTGGGGGTGTCGGGGTTGATTTTTGTTTCTCCTTTCTGGGTGGCTAGATTTAGTGGAGGCCTGAAAACCCGCGAGGGAGTCACCAAAGGAACTGGCACATTTATTCCTCGGCCGCCGAATCCGCAGGGTCGGTCGGCCTGCTGACCTGGGAAGGCCCCGGCACGGCGGGGCCGAGCCCCAAACGGTCACTCGTGCCCAGGTGCAGCCCTGGCTCCACTCTCCCCTTGGCGGCTGAGCCGGCTGGTCTTTGTTCCTCTGGTACGAACCAGACGTGGAACTTTTCGTTTGCTCTTGATCTTGGAGGTTCATTTTCCACATAAATCGTTACAGCACGGAGAAAATGATACTGTATTTTTTAAAGCCGATTGGGTTAAAAAAAGTATTTCCTAAATATTTTTCTCCTGGGCAATGGGAAAAGGACAACCTCCTGGAGAGACAACGCAATGAAGTTGTCCTTATTTATATATTTTAGGTGATTAATTTTACTATACGACCGGGAGAGAGAGCCGGGAGGCTGGGCGCCTTGCTGAGCACTTCACGGAGGGCCCGGCGCTCCAGAGAAAGGAAGCGGGAAGCTCCACGGGCGGGGGTGTGGACTCTCCCTCGGCTTCCTCGGGCTCTCCTTTTAGGGGACCAGGTCTGCATCAGAGGCCAGGCTGGGAGGGGGAGAGGCCCCTTCCCGGTTTAAGAG